CAACACAACCGCAAAACATCAAACTGCGTTGCAGCAGCAGGCAAATGGTTGGTTGGACCTCGACCAGGGGCCGTGGCAGGGGCAACTTCGAGGTTACGAAGGCTAAACGCAAAGCCGTATAATTTACAGCACACCTCAGTAGGCAGGGTGTGGGCTCAACCAGACACGAGATAACGTACAGTGGGCCAAATGCATTAGATTCCGATTAAAAGCCACATCACAAACGAAGATGGCATATATAAATAAAAACATTTTAAATAAAAAGGTAAACCTATTCCTATAATAATGCTAAATCAGTGTAGAAGCAAAGAAAAAGCCCAAAGCTAGATTAATGAAAATGATATGAAAATATGTATTTTGGACCCAAACTAAAATGAAAAGAGAATGTGAGAATATCTACGGTACGCTGAAGATTTATAACCTTATAGAAAGTTAACTGAAGGTTTTGCATATATCATTTGATGCAAATATCATATCAGAATGGCTAAAGTCTGATATTGATCAGACTTGCATTTATGTAGAGAGCTTTTCGACCGATTGTTCCTATGGCAGCTACATGATTAAGTGGTTCCGACAGCTGCTTGCCACAGAAAGACAAACCTATGCAAAGTTTCAAAACAAAATGACTAAAAACTGAGAGTCATGTGTACATTGAGGCACACAGACGGACAGAGAGATGGACAGACCGGCATGGCTATATCAACTGGGCAGTTGCTGCTGATCTAGAATATATATATATACTGTACGCATATCAAGAGCGAACTATAAAATCCTCAACAAGGGTATATAACTTGAGCCTGAGTCGTCATGGATAAGTATCCATGCATCTGGGGATAAATGCAGTTGTGCAATTTAGAGATTATATTAATATTTTCATGTTCATATCATATCATATCGCACTGCTGTGTTCCACTGTGCCACGATGGTTAGTCCGCACATTGATGCATTTGACAGCGGCGACGAGAGGGGGCGTGTCTAAACACCTACACCGATGATAATGGGGCTACGTCTGTTTATGAATGTAACGTTGACCAGTGACGACGATGACGATGACGACGACGATGACGATGACGATGATGATGACGTTGACAGGACGCATAATTGCCGCTGCGCATCTTGAAGTCATGCGGCGTTTTGTCCAGCCGGAGCTGGACTGGTTTTAAGTGAAGCAACAGACGTGCCGGAAATCAACTTAACACAACCGCAAAAGCGCAATCTCCATTTTGGTGTAGCAGCCCCAATGCAACCCACCAATAGGTTTTTGTTTCTTTTTATTTGTCCAGCCCAACCCTTTTTTTTGTCTCCTTTTATTGCTGGCTGTGCTGTTGTTCCATGTGTTGGCATTTCGGATAATTGGTGTGTCCATGTTGGCCATTGGAGCAATGACTGCTCTGGCTGCTCCCCGGCTGCACATTAAGTTGCGCTCCGGACCCCGCCCCCCCCACACACACAAAATTGAGTTAATGATGCTTCGGTGCAGCGACTGCATCCCCGACGTTGCGGCGACATTTGCTACGCACCCAGCTAGAGTTTTGGAGTCCATTGGAGTCAGTTGCTCCCTGTGGTCCCATAATGATGTGGTGTAGTCGTCTGTGCCGAGTGCTGGCTATTTTGCATGTGCGAATTGTTTCAACGCATTTGGCAGACATGTTTTATCGCCTGTTGGCGCCTTGAAGTATGCACTCCAAGAAAAACAAACTGTTCCCAAACACTTTTCAATTAATTTTAAATCTTAAAATGCAAGAGATTTGCATTTAACATTTAAGACTGCTATGAGAAGACCCAATAAACTGAAAACAATCATATTAATCAAATGAAATAAATCAACAGCTACATTTCTTTCGCTGCCAAGTAAACCTGAAGCAATGCTAAAGCAATTGCTTGTACTCTCAGCAATTGATTTGAGTTATCTGAGAAAACTTAAACAAAATAAAAACATATTCCCTTTTTCCCCCAAAGCCCAATGGGTAAACAAATTAACGAAATTAAAGCAAATCAAAAAGTCAAATTCAATAAGCAAAGGCAAAAATGTTTAACAATTAACCGCACATTGAATACTCTACTGCAAACTTTTCCCAAAAGAAGTTAAGAAAACCTAGAACAATATTATCCCACGAAACAAATCCCAAAATATCTATAATAGCAATATGATCCTTTCGTTTCCGACTTTACAGCTTACCAAATTTGTCATTTCATGAATAACTCAATGTCTGATAAAATCAAAATATCCTCTGCATAGGGTATGAATACAAAAGGCAAACAAATTGAAAAATTGAAAAATATTTTAAACAAACAGAGCACAACAGAACAAGGGCCGCACAGTTTTCGGTTTCTGGCTTTTTGGCTATTAATCAAAACAAATAGCTGAAGAGAAATTAAATATTTAATTACCACTCAACAAGAGCTTTTGTAAATGTTTTCGTTTGGCCTGGCGCGTGGTACGGAAAAGGGGGACGGATTTTCATATTATGTAAACTGCGTTTGGGCATTTTTAAGCCCCATTTTGGTCTTTCTTTGCATTTCATTAGGGAAATGCATAAACAGTTGAGCCTCCGCCTTGTGCCCACCCGGTTTTTAGAGCCAATTTGAGCATCTCAAGAACTGTTGCAGGCTGTTGCAGGCGCACCTGCTGTTTTACGGTCCACGTTGATTTGCCTCTAAATATTGCTCAACGGGGGACTCCAGAGAGTCGAGTGTTGTCTGGATTTGATTGAGTCAAAGAAGAACTTACCCTGACAGTTAATGTAATTAGTCTGGCGAAATGCCAGAAATGCTTTATCATTGACTGCACTTTGAATACCCTGCGCTAGCTGCATGGTAAGTGGAGGAGTGGAGGAGCTCAACCTGTTCATGTCAGCTTTGCAAGAGATATTGAAGAACCTTCTAATTGAATATTATATATTAATATCAAATATTAAGCTTCATTTTTTGTATATGTAAATATTGTATTTGTTTCGTTCTTCAGCTCGCAATGAGTGGACTCTACTCTAAACCACTTACAGGGTATTCTCTTGCCAAGCAGTCGCCAGTAGCACACCCGGCACTTGTTAGTGGTAATTAATTGTGTATCAACAAAGCGAAATGACAAGCAAATTGCCAAAAATATTTCAAAGTCCACATTTCTGTACTCGAGTTGACCAATTGACAGCAGTTGTTTCCGTCGCTTGGCTCCGAATAAAATCGAAAACGCATTTGCCAATTTATAAATGTTGTGTACTTTCATTTCAATTGATTTCGTTTCGTTTCGCTTCGATTCGATTCGCTTGTCAAATGCCGCAAAATAGCAACAAATATTATTTTACTTACTGCTCGGCTTTTACGGCAATCAATTTCTGTGGCTCTGCCTGATATACCAATAAGGTTATCCAATACCCCAAAATATCACTAACTATTTGTGTACACTCAATTATTTTTTAGTAAATGTGTAGATAGTTCGTAAACATGCAGGAGTTTCTGCATCTAAATTTTTAATCACGAATAAATCGTTATCTTAGTCAAATGTAAATCTTTCTGCACAAATTTGAATGGTTAAATGAGAAAAAGAAGCATGTACTATAAAGCTGATGGCAGAAGGAGACGAAGGATAGAGCCTATAAAGCAATATATATTTGGCAGAAATTCCTCGCTTTTGTTTAATGTATTTCTAGCATTTTGCTAGCGATATCTTCTACTAGTTCCGATATGTTACCATCGATAACATACTTATATTCCAGCTTGTCATATTACATATTAACTTGCCTTAGCTTTTTTCTTAGTCCAAATCATTTTTCTGTATTTAAAACATTTAATACTACAAAAACTTGTAAAATATTTACAAGCGCATCTGCTGCTGATGAAACTTTATAAGGACTTTTGCTTTTGCAACTTTTAATTAACAGGCCGCTGCAATTTTTAAGTCAAGGATAAACGTCACCAAATATTTACACATCCTTCTCAAAAAAAAAAAAAAAATTAAAAATAAAAATAAATAAATAAATAAAAGAAGCAGTAAAAAATGCAAAAAACACTCAACACTGATTGTCCAAAGCGAAAAGTTTAAATCTTTTGGACGGATTTCAACCAAAGCTAATGATGATGATTTTAATGAAATACTTAAACAAGTTTTCTCAGCTCTGAGCCAAGCGAGACAGCTGCTTGACGGCAATCAAAATTATGAATTCATGAAAATTTACAAAAATTTTAAGCACTTCTGTTGACTTTAGAATCCGTTTGCCAAGTTATGAGCACATCCAGAAGGTAAACTTGCATAACATCTACAGCAATAAATTTTGCAATTATTTGAGTAACAACGAGACGGAGACAGAGAGGAACAGCCAGAAAAAGAGTGGGAGCGGGGGAAAGGCTAGAGGATGGTTGACGGTTGTGTGGCCAAAGCGCCATTTTTAGTGCTGGCCATTGCATAACAAAATGGCGCCAACTGGCGTCAGTTTTACGCCCGATTGATGTGCAATATATTCAGAACGCGTTGCAGCCAATTGGCAAAAATGAACCTAGCTGACACTAGCTGAAAGCTAAAAACTTGGATTAATCCAATAGAAGACAATATATAAGCTAAGTGGAGCTTTAAATGCGCCCTTTAAAATTAGTTGTAAGGCACAGGGCGAGCTTAGTTTTGGTGTGAAAGGCTTGCTCGTCTTTCAAATCTGTAGACTTTCTAGTGTGGCATAGTTACAACAAAAGGGAATGGGCAGAAAAAAGCTTAACACTCACGGAAATTAAAAATACGCAGCATTCAGAAATGATTTATTAATTTTTATTTAATATTTAGATGCTAGCATTGCGAAAATGCATAGAAATTGTTATTGCTTTAAGCGGCTAGTTAGTCTTTTAAATCTGAAGGATTTCTAGTGTTGTAAAATTACATTCATATTCAGATGACATCCATAGAGAAATTAAATTTTAAATTTAAAAAGCTTTTTTTGCAATGTTTTACAACACTGTCTTTTTAAGCCCTCCCAGGCTGGCATTGAGCGTCAATTTCAGCCAATGTCAATATGTAGAACTAATGTAGGTAACTCAAATTAATCGCTGGCAAAGGAGCTGACAAATCCATTTCTAAAACGATTTTATTGGCAGTAGATTTTTTTTTTCATTTGGCTGCTTGGTGGGGTTTTGGGCCGACAGTTGCCAGTTTTATGATTGCAGCGCACGTCGAAGACGCTGCACGTCATCAATTCTTTTGACATGTCCTGCGGCCATTAAGCCTGAGTTGAAGGAGACGACGACAACGTTGCCACAGAGTACTCAATGCAGAGTCTTGGGTCGTTTGTGTGTGTGTGTGTGTTTGCGTGCGTGTGTGTGTGTGTCTGCGTTTCCGCTGCCTTTCCGTTGGCTTTTCCCTATGGCTGCGTCTCAAATTAACCTGATACCAGCCACTGCTTTACGTATGCTGTCAAATATCCCAAACGCAGGCGGAAGCCTTTCCCAGTCATCAGGCAGTCGGCAGGCAACAGCGGAAGCGTATCGGAGGCGCCTCCTGCTCATTAAAAATGCAATAGTCCATAGAGAACTCTGTGCGCCTGGCTACATGAATAACCCGGGCTGCCATTGACTGCTTATTGTATAACTTGGCCATATTAATGGCTGTCAATATTGATACTCCTCACGGCCAGCATCCTTTTGTGCTCTGTGCTCGAATGGTCTGCAATTGGTTGTCTCATTTGTGCTGCAGTCTGGTCTCATCTGATCCTGGCATTCAATTATCTATCTGTATATCGTGTTGCATGCAGCCTTGTAGCTGCTGCAAGAATGCTCTGTCTGCTATCTGAAACCCCAATTTGTATCATTTGTGTATTGGCCAACTATAATTATGCTAATGTTTATAAATATGTAAATGTGTACTATACAATATACTCAGATGTGGATATTCTATTCAGATAATAGATGTATACAAATATGCTTTTGATTAACCAAAACCAAGACAAGGGCCACGCATTGTAATAATTCTAATGAATATATTTAACTGCTTGCCACACATATATTCAGACTTTTAGCAAATTTCCGATTAGCTATTAGAAATGTTAATTTTATTATCATTATTATACTATATTAAAATTTAAGCTTTGTAAGCCCCGGCACAAAGTAAACCCCAAATCCTATAAATCAGCAAAGTTTTTAAACATTTTAAAAAGCTTTGCGGTTTTTTTTTTTGTTTTGTTTAAATAACGAAGCCAACAAAATTATGATGAGCATGCGGGAAAAAAAATTGAAAAACAACGTATTAATCAAATAGATGCGTTTCTCTATGGCTCAAAAGTTTAGGCTGACGAGCAGTAGGCGGGCAAGGCGGAGTCCGGGTCCCAGCTTCAGCACTCTGCGTCTGCTCTTACATACTGACAGCAGCAGCAGCAGCAGCGAAATCCATTAAAGTTTTACGACCAGTGTAAACATTAAGTTGCATATGCAATTTTATGTGCAAAGGGCTAAACGCCGCGGGCTGTGCAACTATTTCCTAACTCGGGCGCCATTTACAGCTAACCCATCCACAAGCTGGAGAGGCTCATGGCTATAACCGCTTTTATCCAGGGCCTTAGACATTGTAGCCAACTGTGATTCAATTGCTTTTGCCTTTTTTGGTAACACTAAAGCAACAAAATTGTAAGAAATATCTTATGGGAAATTCGGACCAGGAAGTGTTTCATTTAAATACTGTTACTTCCGGACAATAAGATAGCGCAAGAGAGTATGCGTGAGAGAGAGAGAGAGAGGGAGAGCGACATAGAAAGAGACAGCGCGAGATCCAGAGATAGAAATTTATATTATATATATTATAGTTTAATATTTTATTGAATAAGTTTTTGTTGTATATAACACTTTTTTATATTTCTCGTTTAAATTATATTTTTTATTTTATTTTATTTTTTTGAGGTTTTTCTGACAATTCAGAGTTAAGAGATAAGCTATGAATTGATAGATTAGGAAATTGTTTAGATCAGGAGTCTTTTAATATGTTAAACATTATATACTTTGAATATTAGAAATGTTTAATTAATTAATAATTTAATTACATTGTGTTTCCTTTTTTTAACCCCTCCCACCATATTTTACACTTGTTAGCATAATACATTTTTCAACGCAGTTTTTTGAATCAAAGTTCGTTTCTGTTTGCCCTATCAGCGACGCGCTGCGTTTCATATAACGATAATTTATGGCAAATTTATAATGTTGTAAGTGCCAACAAACTTGCTGAAACTATCCATAAAAGGCTACACACACACACACACACACACACATATAAGCCACCCACTGTGCCGTTTACTGCGCTACTTTGCCCAGAATTAAGGCTGAGCTCGTAAAGCTGTTGCCATAGATACCAGATAGCAAAGGGCGGAGATGCGCTGTGGGGTGGGCGATGTGACTAGGAGCAGCATATAGACGAGGAGAGTTGACGGAAAAGCCATATCGGCATCTAAAGAGCACACACACACACATACAGAGACAACAGAAGCGTCCCTGCATAAATATTACAAAATCGTAAATACACACGCCCAAAACTTGCGAATCTCAGCTTGTGTGCGTGAGTGTGTGTTGTGTGTGTATGTTGTGTATCTTTATTGTGTGAAGTCATTCGCACAGTTGCAGATATTTTGAACTCAAAGATCTCGAGGCATAGACATAGTTCCGCCCAAGTTGAGGTTAGTTTTGAATATAAACAAAATATATACAGGGTATGGCCAAAGACTATTTATATCGACTTTGGTATTACCTAAAATAGCGCCTGTCCAAGCTAAGGCAAATAATTTAATAATATTGTATTCATATTATCTTTAGTATTACCCTTTATTGGCAATAGCTTAAATACAAGTGCATATGGAATACGTGTTTAACGTGCTTAACGAACCTTCCTAAGAAGCGAGTTCCAAAGATCTAACTATCTTGCATATAGCTAATTGATATTGTTAAAGAGGAAATCTCCTAATATATATATCAGAAAGCAACTAAGAGAACTCTAGCATAGACATGATAAGATGATTATATCTACTGCCTGCACCAAAAACACCAAGGTATTAAAAGATATATTGAAAATTTAATGAACTGATAAATATACCCAGATGTTATCGCGTGGCAACTCACAAATTAAACAAAGTATTCAACCAAAAATATGATAATTGATCTAAGAATTACTTTTTTACTAGGAGGCAATTGTGGCATACGTAAAAGTCACATAATTATGGCATTATAAATAATACTTAGATCTGCCATTTATTTCTCTTATTTCTCATTTCTTATTGCCATAATTATTCCGTCAAAAGCCATTTCGACTATAATATTCCTTTCGTCTCATAGCTGATATGCAGTTAGCCAATTTCAAATTGAAATCGCTGCAATGTGTGAAATTTATGGGCTCGTTTCTTTTTTTTTATTCGGGCTCTGGATTTTGCGTTAGTTTTTTTACATTTGATTATTTTTTTTGTATTATTTTATTACTTTTTGTGGGTCATTGTCCGGCTTCGAATCAGTTGGGTTTCGTTCACTTGGCATGCTGCATAGCTTCGGGTGTTTTTTTATTTATGCGTGAAATGCTTTTAAATTTTTTGGAATACTTGCAACTCGCTCCGTTTTGTCGGATATGTTGCATGTGTGTCTGTGCACTTGGTCTTGTGTTTGTGTGTCTGGGCCACTTCAGCGTTCGGAAATTAAAACTTTTTTATGGTCTTGGCATGTTGTGTGTGCAAAAAGCAAAAAAAAATGTAAATGTATATATAAATTTAAATATATTGTTGTTACTTGCCACGAATTCAAGTGGCGACCACACAAATTGGTCAAACTAATAAATTTTGTGGAACCTAACTAGTTTTACAAGTTTTTTAGGGCCAACAAATGCACACTCAAGCTATAAGTTAATAGAAACATCGCAAAACTTGGACAAAACAAAAATGTTTGAGAGAAAGTTTAATGTTCTGAGCAATTTATTAAATAGAGGCAGCTAAAAGTATTAAAGCTCATAATAATTTCTTGTTTAATACGATATTATTGTACGTATCAAGCTCATTTAAATATTTTAATGCGCTTTCAAATGTTTAAGCGGAGCTTTTGTTGTAAGTATAGGATATATTTAACGCGCTTTTAAATGAATAATCAAAGCTTTTGTTGTGTTTCGCAGCAAAGAAAGCACAAAGAAAAAGATGAAAGCTGAGCTTTCGCTTAAAATATTTTGTAATCTTTAACAAAAGCCTTGTAAAGTCTACAATGCTGAAAGCTCAAATCTTAGTGGCACATTGTGTATTCATTGGATATAGAAAAGGCATAGGATCTGCTCTTCTTGGTTACTTACCCGTCGCTCACACAGCTAGAACGGATTAGATTCCTCGATTCACGTGGCGAACTGTACTCTCCACTCCTCACTTCTCAGCAATTAGCAGTAGGATCTTGTTCATCAGCTCATTGGCTACCGTTTCGTGCAGGGTATTCAGTCGTGCGGCAAGAAAGTCACCAAATTTGATATAGAGCAGCTCCCGGGGACTAGGCTGATGGCGCCCACTTGTCGCGCCGGCGCCAGTGAAGCTGCTGCCAGGCGAGAGTTGACCGTCGGGGGCGAGCATATTAACGCCGGCATTGGGCGGACAGGCCGTTCGGTCCTCATCGTCATCGTCATCATCGTCGTACTCCAGATCGTCGTCATCGTCATCCTCCAAGTCACCAGCATCCACGTCGATCAGCTCGTTGTTGGTACTGATAATCAGATGCGGCGGTGGCGTTGCATAAAGCCCACTTCCGCCGTCCCCCTTGGCCACCCGAAGGCGTTCCTTCAGCTGCTGCTTGGTCTGCGGTCGTATGGTGGCCAGTTTCTGGCGCGACTTGAACGCCGACCGACTGCCCGTCTCGTCTGGCGAGTCTGGCTCGTCCTTGATGTAAATGGAGGGTGAGCTGCTGCAGGAACGCGAACTGCTGCACAGCTGCACCGCAGCGGGCGATGTGGCCGGCATTGGGGCAACTGTCAGAGGCAGGACAATGGCTGGCGTCGTCTTCTGCAGCGATGTCAATGTCACGTCCGGCTGCAGTTGGAGCGCCTGCAGATGCTGCGCCTGCTGCTGCAGCCCGACGGGCAACTGGCTAATGCTGGGCAGGATTGGCGGCGCTTGACTAACTGCTGCGATGTTCGCTTTCAATGGCTGATTGTTGGGATTGTTTGGATCGCTGGGCGCAAAATATTGGTATTCATCGTGTGCCACGCTATTGTTGTTGTTGTTATTGCTGTTGCTGTTGCTATTTGTATTGTTGTTGTTATTGTTGCTGCTGATATTTGCACTGTTGTTGTTGCTAGCATTGTTTGTGTTGTTGTTGTTGTTGTTGGTGGCAGACTCCACGGAAGTGTTCTTGATGCGTTCACGAGATCTATTGGGAATGCATAAAAAAAAAGAAATTAAGTATATATGTATGTTCTGCAATAAATTGTGTGTTAGAAAAGACATTGCAACATAACAAAAGCATACGCCGAACTGTAAATGCCCTTACAGATATAAATAACAAACGGTTTCGCAGATTTGTTGGTAGTCTCTTGACCAGGTTGAAATACACTATACAAAAGTATAAAAAAAGTATTAGCCAAGATATAAGCAAGTATTTAAGTATTTTTCGCGTTTTCGTAAATCTGTTTTCAAAAACTAAATACAGATATCGTATTTAAATAGATATAGATGGATATATGTATTCCATTTTATATGAAAACGTGTTCAGTTCTTCGAGCTTTAAGCTGACAATTATTGGATTAAAACATTTATTAAAGCTTGGGTTTTTAAAAGTTATTTTTTCACGAGCTTATTGTCATGCAGTGTTAGAAAGCAAGTAAAATATTAGAGTGAGTTGAGCATATCTAGTGTTAATAAAAAACACTGAAAATAGGCAAGTTCTAAAAAAATTAAGAAACAGATAAGTGTCAGGCACTCTTTTATTGTTTAATTTGCTTTGTTAATTTGCCATGCAAACTTTTTTGATATTGTCGGTTGTTGTTGCCCATTGTACTTACTTGCGCTCCCTGATGACCTCCTTGAGAAATGCCATGGCATCGTAGTATTCCCATTTGGACTTGAAGCGTGTGGTGCCCAGCATCTTCTCGTGATTCAGCTCCCGCCTGAAGATCTCTCGGAGCGAGGTGAAGGTGCGCTGCACTCGTTCCCCGTTCACGTTGAACATGCGGCCAAGTTCGTTCCATTTGATGGCCTTCTTTTTGTCGGAGCGCTTGTAGTGGGGCAGGCGGCAGTCCCAGAGTATGGGATTGAGGCGAACTAGCTCGATGAGTCGGCGCTTTTCGATGTTGTGGCGCGAGAAGGCCATGGCCAGAATAGTTCTCTCTTTCTCTCTCTCTCTCTCTCTCTCTCTCTTAAAACACTCTTAAGTATTTGGTTTCGTTGGGGTCTCTTTTGCTGCCACTACCAAAATGCGCTCTGCGCATGACACACACACACGTGTAACGCGCGCCCGTGTGTTTGTGTGCGCGCGTGTGTGTGTTGGCCCGTTTCAGATGCTGCGCAAGATGTGTGAAGTGAGAAAATCGTTAATATTATTTGTTGCCTGTTGGTCATCTGGCCGAAAAGTATGCAACGTTTCGGACACCTATTAACGGGGGTTTGAGGCGATTTGTTCATTGTTTCTGAGTTCCAAGTTCAATGAACTGAATGCCTGCATATCAATACATGCGAGGAAATTACAAAGGAGGGTATTTGTTTGCCAAGAGACATAAGAAATGCAAATGCAATTGTAATGCTCGGCTTAAGGGGGTTAATCAAGTGCAATAACTATGCAAATTAGCTCAAAAATCGATTTAAATTCGGTGTAAAAACAGAATTTTCAATAAATGAACTTAAAGTGCACATAGCTGAACTGAAAAACGAAATAAACCTCTATTCCAATAGTTAAAGCAATGAAAGTGTTTGCCAAAAAGAGAGAATTTTGGATTTTCAAATGACTTCTGCTATATAGATTGAAAGGCTAGCAACAACTTTAACTGCTCTGGATTGTTTTGAAATAGGTCAATTCTGATTTTACCAATTTTGATACAGCACAATTCAGTTTAATTCCTGTATTCTAATACATATTTGAATATATATATTTTTCATTTAATTATCTATTTATGATCTGATTGATGATTTTTTTGTTAAGAAACTTATCTTGAACACCCAATATCTGTTATTTGGAAGAGGAATCTCCAATAGGCTTTATACAATAACGTTTCTTAATAAGTTTCTTAATTTTGCAAATGCCGGAAAACGATCGTTTTCTTTTCTTACAGAGTTTTTGCATAGTACAAATAATTTATTCTTAAATTAGGAACTCATGAAAATAGAAAATGAGCAAATTTCTCTTAACATTGTTTTGCCAAAGGCGTTGGCCTGTAAAACGCATAGCATGACGCTATTTAATTCAGGTAAAAAATCATGAGTATAAAACGATATTATTTTATACGTAAATACATATATATATATATATGTATATACCTATGTATAAGTACTTCGCACAAACAAAGTACAATTATAAGTTAGCCAAACAAATCGTATAAAATAAACATTTGCAATGTTCTGGCTTCGCATTCCTAGAACTCAAGCGCTGTGGTCGAGAATGTGCAGGTACATATATATATATATATATATATATATATTAATATACATATCCATAATAGTTCTGTTCCGTTTTTGAATCATACGAGTATGTGAAATGCGTAGGTGTTATATTTCAATTAAAATGGAAGGGAAAAATCCCTTAATAATTAAAGTCAAAGTACAATTTCTAGAATAAAAGATGTGAATAAAATATGTTCCTAGTTCAAATATCTTCTTTCCGTTCCGGAACTTTATTGTAAGACAGTTTCGAATTTTGGGAATTATTTATAATTAAGGTAATTTCGGGAATTTATTAAAATTCAGCTTAGATATGAGAAATTTTGTGATATCATTTTATTCTCAATTTTTAAGAGCATTTTCTATTATATATATAGGTGATATAAAAAATATTAATATATATATAATTTTACGTTTTTTGTTGGGTTTTTAGTTAAAGTATCTTTTTCTTTATTCTTTGTAAATATTACGTAGGACGTATATAATACGAGCACTTCTTACCAATCCTTTAAGCAGCTTCCCTACTCTCTATCGCTCTCTCTCTCTCTCTCTTTCTCCTGCTATGTCTTTCTCTGTCTGTCTGAAAGTGTCTTTCTTTCTCTCTCTCATACGCTTGTTGTCGCTCGCAGCTTACGTAACAGATTTGCCGCCTCTTTTGCCTTCTACTTGTAAGGCGTTTTTTTTTTGTTAGTTTTTATTTTTTGCCAATTTCTTGTTTCAACTGATTTTTAATTGTGTGCTTGCTGCAATGCCCACCATAAACACACACACGCACACACGCACACACAGTTTATGCATAAGCGCTAAAAATACGCACAACAAAGTAAGATATGCCAAATTGCTGGTACCAAAAAAAAAAAAATAATTAAGCACAAATTATAATTGATATAATAAAAACAATTTGTGCACACTTTTGCACTGTGTACACACTTGCACTTGCCCAAATTCCAATCTAATTTGCAGAAGATGAGTTTGTTTGAATGTTGTTTTTTTGAATTAGCTGTTAATTTTTGTTTGCGGCCAATTTGCGTGTTCATTAATTGTTTTCATTTGTGTTAACTGTAAAACATTTGGCGCCTCGCAGGCAACTAAAACAAGCTATTTTTTTGCTCACAAATTTAGTTGATTTATTTTTTTTTTTTTTTCTGCTGCCGTGTTGTTTATTCGTGTTGTTGTTGTTGTATTTATTAACAATATGAGCAGCACGTTGAGAATTTATATCAATTTATTTCAATTAACAAAACAACAAAACGTTGCTGTTGTTATTGTTGTTGTTGTTGTTGTTGTTGCTGTTGTTGCTCGCTCGTTCGCCCGTTCGACTGTTCGACTGTTCGCTCGGTTGCTGCCACTTGTCGCAGTGTTAGTAATTGTGGCTGTTGCTGTGTGTTGTATGAAGGCTATGCAACAACTATTTGCCACCACAAAAATCTGTAAACGATGCGAGCGCAAAATGTACCACAAAATTCACAAACACAGCTGCAGTGCGCTGCGTATGTGTGCGTATATGTGTGTATACACTCAAATAAGCGGGCGGACGCAGCGAGAGCGGCAGCAACAACAACAACAACAACTACAACTACTACTACACACAAACACAGAGACACAGCACAATTGCAAGCTCAATTGATATTCGTATATTATTAATTTAAAAATGTTTATTATATTTGTGCATATGTATGTATGCATGTGGTGCGTCGCTCTGGGCTTGCGGCAGCCAACGTTTTGTTGCCACTTCTTGGCAGCAGCTGCTGCTCGCCGCTGTTTTTCACAACTTGCCCCACAAAACCAACTGTAAACGAACTTAAATTTTCTTGCAAATTGGCGGCGCAGCAGCCGCTGCTGAGCGCACGTAAGCCACATAGAGAGCGCCGCTGCGCTCTGCCAATGTTTTTGTTTGTGTATGCAATAAGTGACAACGAGAGCGAGAGCGAGAGCAAGAGAGTGTGAGAATGTGAGAGAGAAAGACCCACGCGTTGTTTGGGGGCTGCGTTCGGCTCTCTTAGTTGTTATAATATGCTGCTGCTGCTGCTGTTTCTGTTATTGTTGTTGTTGTTGCTGTCGGTCCGGCTGTTTCAAATGCTGAGAGGATGCTTTTCGGTCAGCTTTCTGCTGATGTAAACAATTGGGGGAACTTTTGCGCTGTTGCCAATAAACCTAGCAACGTGTTGTCAACTGAAATGCGAAGCGGCAGCAACTGCAATTTTTATTTAGGGGCCACCTAAGTCCAATTTATTGTTAGATAATCATTTCTGTGGCTCAAATCAGTTATAGTTTCATTTAAAAAGGGGAAAAACATTCTGCGATTATAAAGCCAATCTAAATAGAAGTGTTTAGTATTTAGTTAATTTGTTAGATCGTTTTGGCCCTCCGCGATGATAAACGGATGATCAGGAAAATAAATAGCAGACGCTCTTAATATTTCCATTGAGTGATTATAGAACAAAAGAAAAGTACAGGAACTGATCACAAAGCAAATAAATGTGTAAGCACACATCATATATAATTGAGTATATTTCTTTTTTGGTGGCCATAAATCCTCTTCATATCTGCAAACAATACAGAGACATGAATAGAACGCAATGAAACCGCCCGCGCGTCTTTGCTTATCAACAAGCGCTTGGCAAAAGCAAATAAACAAGCAACCAAAAACTAAAACCAACGCACCCACAGAACAACAACAATAACAAACAAATGTGAGCGAGCAAAGTAAACAAAAGAAAATCGATAATGCCCAAGATTGGCAAGAGCAGCAAAAGAGGCAGCCACAGCAGCAGCCGCAGCAGCAGCAGCAGCAACAACTTACAGTGCACAAAACAAAAACAAAGCAACAAGCAGTAGGAAACTGCGGCGAGTAAACGAAGAGCACAGCAAAGAGAGCACAAAAGTTGAGAGCGAGGGTTGCGTTTGCCCTTGGCAGCTGGACCAAATAACTAAGTAGAACGTGTGTTGGTAGCAGGCGCTAAGAGTCTGCGATTGGCAGAGGCCCCACACTGAGACTACCGTTAACAATGGCTTGTCAGCATATAGCGTGGGAGTGAAGTGCTCGGGTCTGCTCTCTTGCGTCTCTGTTACTGACATTTAACAATGCGAACAAATACAAACAATGCCAAGCACACGTATGCGCGCACACATACGCATACACACACACACACACGCACACAAAGACAAATATTCAATTTGCCGCCTGCCACTGCCTGCAATCAACTTTATTACTCGCTGCCTCCGATGCTGCCGCAGTTGTTATTTACTTTTTGCTGCTGTCGTCGCCGTCTCGTTTGGTCATCTGAAAAATAAGCTACGTTAGCGACGTCAACGTCAACGTCAGCGTCAGCGTCGACGCCGGCATTCGCATTTATCAATCGTTCGTTCTGTGGGCCATTACAGGCATATGCATATGCCCATCATTTTATTTCCTCCGTTCGTATTGTTAGACTTATCAGCATTCATATGCGTGCATATGTTCCTGTGTATGTGTGTGTGTGTGTGCTGATGCTGATGTAGCGAACAGTGCTCGACACACGGTCCAATATTTTGAATGAGATTAATTAACAACAATGCAAAAATTACAACTACCACGGGCATTTACATATGCATATCTATATATCTATACCATATATCAAACTGTTTGTCCTGACGGACTGATTGGTGGCCGATGTACAGCCCTAATCTCTTGGTAGGATTTTAAATGTTTCTACTGTAAGTGGAATGTAAGACGAAATTTGGGAAAATTCCACTCGTAAATGTGGCAAATTAATGATCGATCAGCTTATCAACTTTTTGAGGCGTGTTTTACATATTTTTGTTATAAAGCGGACTGTTTTTGAAATAATTTTATAGTTACATTTGTACTTCATTTCCCTAATCCCAGACCCTGTTTACATCATTTTAATTTATTGCTTTACTATGCGATTCTTATGAATTTAAGTAAGGCTTACGGCTTTCCATGCTTGGAAGTGTTTTGAGTGTAATTTAAACATTTACTCTGCTCGTACATTTTGTTGTTTGTTTTGCATATATAAAATTCTTGTCTTAATATCATATACATATATATATATATATATTTTTTTTATTTGCTTTGAATTTCCTTGCCCTAAGCTTTTTGATAAATTGAACCCACTTCCCACTAAAATCTTGAAATGATGTCTTAAAATAGTTTTACTACAGCTGATTGCCTTTTTACCCTAACTGTTATTCTTTATGAAGTTAGCAGCCCATTTGACTTTGAGGCGCACAGTTTTAATAGTTGGCTGATTCTTGGCCATTTGTTTGCCATATATTTGAATCCGCAGTTGGCCTGGTCTGGTCCAATTAGCAGCGATTGGCTGGCACCCGAACAGCAAGAACAACATCATCAAGGCAAAAATATTCGAAAGTCAAATACAAAAAAAAAAAAACTAAAAAAAAAATAAATAGGTAAAACTTTTCTGGGCGGGAGCTGTGCAAAAGTTGCTAAGTTGAAAACTTGTGAATTATTTAATATTATGCTCTGTATATAGGCGAGCTTTCTTGCATGTTTTTTCTTTTTTTTTTTGCCTGCGGTCTGGCCTGGGTCAGCGTACTAAACTAGCCCGGAATGGAGTACACTGAGTACGGAGTACTTGGCATTTTTTCAATTATGTGTCTACCATTTGCCAGCAAATTGAGGTGAAGTATTTAAAGGCAAATCGGCTTGAGGCTTGACTCATAAACCGACTGGCGAGCAGATGAAAGACACAATTTCTGATTTGCCATTTGCCCAGACTCAGGCCAACGGATTTGGTTATCTTTCGTTTGGAGATTTTTCAGTGCGACGCTCCACCCAAAGAAACATCTTTGTGGCAGCTGCTCGCTCTCTGTTTCCATTAAAAATCCATTTAAATATTATCTTGTGCGATTTCTTTTGCCACATACGTCGCGTCGGTTTGCTTCCGTTTGACATTTAGCCAAATGACGAGACTTTCAGTAATTCAAAAGATAACTTCGAGTAGCATTTAATGAGCTACATTTAAGCATAATTATGTTCGTTATTTATTCAAGTTATTAATTGGCATCTAAACGCACTGCTGACTGCCACAAAAATTACATAAATTCGTATCGTAATTTACTTAAGCTGCAGCTGATTGACTTTACAAATACACATATGCCAGCATTTAGATAATATTTTGGGTGTAGATTGCAATGCACTTGCCACAAATGCAATTGCAAAAGGCCACAATGAAATTAGCTGGAAATTGTTTCACTCAAATTTCACAGACAATCCAGTTTCAATAAATTATTTAACTAGGCGTTCCAGTCAAGTCAAGCGTTGCAATTTAGTTTAGTTTCACATTGAGGCGTAAATGATATAAGCAAATGGCCTTTTGATTTTAATTGGATTTGGCAAAGCATAAATACCCCGTAGTTATATTATGAAATGCATAATAATCTATCAATTGCTGCTCAGCTTTGCCCGGGGTTGGGCCACAACAATTGATGTACAAGAAATCTGATTGAAACCCAAAATGCCGCTTTTATTCAGATTTTCTGCTTCTACTGATTTCTGCTCTTTCTGGTTTCATTTCATTTGAAATTCCGTGCTCGAATCGTTTCGGTTCAAATCCATTTGAAGCCATGTTTGGTTCACCACTTTAATTAAATAATTTGAACTATTATATTAGCAAACACCTTTGAGTGCTGGTTAACAAATTAAAAAGTTTGATAAAAAAAAAACCTATTAATAAAAAATAAAGACCGAAGCGAACCATTTGGAAAATTAACATTCATAGAATTCTGAAGGTTTTGAACTGGCGACCTTTTCAAGCCGCTGCTTCACAAAGTCAAGCGCTCAATTACGTAACTTTATGTTTTGGCTCACAAAATGTTCTATTTAGCTTCTTTTTTTCCCGCTTTTTTTCGCTAGCTCGCCGACGTCCATGAAGAGGAGAGACGGCGAGGCTCTGGACATGGACCCAAGGCACGGCTGCCATATTGTAATTTGGCGTATTTCTACCCTGAAAATAGCAAGGGTATAGGGTATAATGGTTTTGTGCAAACGTATGTAACAGGCAGAAGGTCGCATCTTTATTCCCAACAAGCTAGTTGATTTAGCTGTGTCCGCATGTCTGTTAGATATGTGGATGTTTGAAAGCTTAAACTCTGATCCTCAGAAATCATTCATAACTTTTCTCGTTTCGTTGCAATCGATACTAATCGATACTGAAATTACGTTTTGCACTCATTTCGACACACACAATTTTATTTGTGACGTCAGTTCGGCCCAGAGTACAGAGTATCTGCTAGTCGGGCACTCCTGACTACAGCACGCTTGTTTTTTATTATTTTTTCGGCCAAAGCAACGAAAGAAAACAAAGAAATACGAACGTTGTGCAAATAAATGCAAAATAATATTACGAAAAGTTGACTGAAAACTACCGAAAGCTGCTTGAGAGGGGGCTGGGGTTGGGGGTTGGGGGCGGTCTCCTTCGCCGAGTCGTTGCACTTTCTGCTGCTCAGCTGGTGCGCCTAAAAGCACACACTTCATTTCTAAATAGAATTTTGCAATTTGCCAAAAGTTTTTTATTTTTGAGATTCGCTTTTCGCTCTGCCCGTTGGCCCTTACTTGTCCATTGATTTCAATTCCAGTTTTTTGCTTATTGGCTTCTTTTGTGTGCACTTTTCTTCTACTTTTTTTCTTCTTCTTGTTGGCCTATTCGGCTGCCATTTTAATGTGCAATTTAGCAAAAATTTTATTTTGATTTGATTTTTCAGTACCACAAATAGTCTTAACGA